TTACCCATTAAAAAGTTAAAATACACTTTACAGGCTTTCTCTTACGGTTGAGGGACATTTCATTAGAAAAAACTTTTCAGTGACAGCCACCTGTGGAACTCGACCGATGTGAATGCATTACTGGATTTATGCTACTATTGAAGAAACCCCAAACTGAATGAATAACTAAAATACAGAATGGCCTTTTGCAGAGGCTGAAAGGTGCTCCCCTATTAAGTCTAGATACTACATAATTCATCCCGCTAGAATCAACTTGTTAAATATAATACAGGAGGTCAGCGCAGCACTTTTTAGCGCACGCAGAAAAATAACATGAGTGCTGAATTTTTAACAGTCACCGTCCAGTCCACCACAAATGCAGTTGCGTAAGGGTGCTTCGTAAGTCCACTGGGGAGCCCATCCAGGAGATAAAGTTGCTGGTTTGCAATGCTGTCTGCAAAGTACCAAAATGAATGAATAAACCTACAACCCTGTCACTTGCTTCACGCCAAAATAGGGCCAGAGACAAAATTTTATAGGAACCAAACTTGGGCAGATGTTGCCGTACGTCAATGATTCTTTGGGAGTCGCCTGTCGTCCTCATCCTGCCAATTAAAAGGGAACACTTGTTTTACCACTCAGCAATAATAGTAAGTGAATTTAACGGCCATTTGCAGGCATTATCAAAAAGGTATTACATTGTTGCATTTCAACTCCGATGACTATCTTAAAGCATATTGATATCCCTCACGCAACAGCCACCGCGGGATCCTATTATTTCTCTCTCTCTCTCTCTCTCTCTCTCTCTCTCTCTCTCTGGAACGTGCAAATAAATATCGCCAGTGATTTTCTTTTAGCACAAGTGCGCCCCGGAGTACGTGTCCCCGGCCATACATCATACCCTTGCCGTGATTTTCTCTAAGACGTAAACCAGTAAATCAGTTCATTTCTCTTGCGCTTACAGTGCAGCCTAGTTGGCTGATTTACTAAACGAAGTGAAACTATAATTTTATCGAATGGCCAGTATGGGCCTGTCAACTCAACGCAAGAATTCACCACTCATAATTTAAAATAGCTGAAACAATTAAGTAACTGTCAAGCGTTTAGTTTACCGGCAAATTGTGTAGAAATATCACTGGCCGGGTTTCTCTACGTACATATGTCTTGAATAAAATATGAGTTCACTCAAAATTATTGACTGTACTTATAGTTGAAGACGTCAGAAACGGACCTGTAGTGAAAAATTCAAATTGTCATTCAACCATTCAAATGGCTCGGCCTTAGGTTCAACGAAGTGCATACTGTTTACACCAACCAAATTGGCAGGAGGTAGTGTGTCTGATACAAGCAAGATGGTCCCACCGGGCTCTTCGTACAAACACTACAGTGCGTGACCTATCTCATGAAATGTTGGCTGAAATTCTGAAATGCGTTTTCGATTGGGAAGGATTACATGGCCGCGGTTGTGATACTGATTATCTTAAGGCATACTCTTATAACATTTTGGACTCGGTAGGATGTCGGCTTTTAAATGCACTTCTTTCCAATCTCCTGTAGAAAGCGTGCTCGGTAAAAAATGACTACTTAAGTAGCATGCATTTTCCCATTGATTTTTGATGGTCTTGGAAATTCAAATATATTTTATAGAAACCACAAACAAAAATATGCTTTCTTTTAGTCAATCAATAGGGGATCACGTCTTCTTTATATTGTATACTTAGGGAAGGAGTATAATTAGGTTTTAAAAAAGTTTTCTAATTGCCGAAAAATTTGGAGCCTGATCATTCGTTGCATTAGCGCTTAGTGATTAAACTCTACAAGGTGCATGCGTTCCGCGTAAAGAAAATCCCATATTTTTCTATCTCATTAAAGAGATGTCATACAGGGTCCATAAAATTTTGCAATGGATGCGGACCATGTTGTACATTTCATGAGGAGCAGTGGTAAGCGGCCAGGTACGATGCTATGTGAATGGACATATCGCGGTCTTAAAATGTCTCATAATTAGAAACTTTTTTAAAACCTAATTATACTCCTTCCCTAAGTATACAATATAAAGAAGACGTGATCCCCTATTGATTGACTAAAAGAAAGCATATTTTTGTTTGTGGTTTCTATAAAATATATCTGAATTTCCAAGACCATCGAAAATCAATGGGAAAAATGCATGCTACTTAAGTAGCCATTTTTACCGAGTACGCCTTCTAAAGGAGATTGAAATTAAGTGCATTTAAAAGCCGACATCCTGCCAAGTCCAAAATGTTATAAGAGTATGCCTTAAGATAATTAGTATCACAACCGCGACCAAGTAATCCTTCCTAATCGAAAACGTATTTCAGAATTTCAGCCAACATTTCATGAGATAGGTCACTCACTGTACCTAAGAACCACTACACCACTGACCTTACGCCGTTGTGAGAGTTCCGCGGAGTTTTCCGTTCGTTAGCCCAATTTGTTAGTGTGACAGTTGTGGACATCGTCCGCATATTCTGCTTAATGTGCGGGTTTCAATATCGAATACATAGTTGTAGACTGAGGCAGAGCACGAAAGGGTTAAGTCCGACGAGATTATAGAAATCGGTTTGAAAACGTTGTTTCTACCAGAAACCAAACGACAGACGCTGGAGAATCACACATGAGCTGAGCCCCTCACAAATGCGTCACGAGTCGGCGCATCATCGGCAAAAAACACGTCGAGATTTTTACCTAGCACCTGGGCTGACCCTATGGTGATACGGACTCGAGTCTTTTGGTAGCTAGCTGCCATGTCTCCCGCCCCGCGGGTTTTGAAGATTCTCTCCACCTTAGAGGCACTCCCATCGTTACTAAAATTCGCGTGTATCATACATCCGCCCGGTCTGTCCTCTGTGATTGTGATTCCTGGGCTGTGCTCGTGGAGAACGAGCGAAACCTGAAGGTATCTAAACATCGCTGTTTGAGGACCATTCTTCGAGTGAAGTACATCCACTTAGTTTCAAATGAGGCAGTCCGAACTCGCTGCGAAATCATCGCAAGTATAACCCAAACCATCCAAGAAAGACGACTGAGGTGGAATAGGCATGTTTTTCGTCATCCACCTCAGGGCCTCAGTGTTACTGTTCTAGATCCGGCACCGTTACCCCACTGGAGGCGTCAACCTTAAATCTGACTCGATACAGTTCGTCAACACATGGAGGCGGTTCTTAGACACTCGGTATTCGGTCTCCGTCGTTAGCGAAGAGAAGGGGTTGAACTGTCCACATATCCTGCCGCGGATCGTCATGCGTGGAGAGGTGCAGTTCGGGACATCATCGAGGCCGACTAGATCAGGCATGATTGCAGCCGTACCAAATACAAGTGCAATGTTCAATTTCATTTTAATCCCCCCTCTTTATTTCGCTGTTCACATGCATTTAACATTAATTTAAGTAATCTTGGTAATGCTGAAAAATTGCATATAACGACATTCCGTTTTTTTTTCAACTTTTTATTCCAACTGATATTCAGTGTATTTGAATTCCTTTTAGGTGTATAAATGAAGGAGTTACTATGGCTCCTTTACCAATGGAAACCTTTGCCACTTTTCGTTTCTGCCAAAGCGAAGATCAGCCGAAAACCCCCATCTCACTTGGCTACCAAAAACCCACTTTGCTGATTTTACGACTTGTGTACAAGGCGGAAGTATGCTAGCGAAGACGAAACCGCATGCGGTCGCTCTTCATCTGTAGAAGATTATGTCGAAGATGATAAACGTAGGGTGGATCCACAGCGATCTTATCGAAAGTGTCCTAAAGTAAGCTGCCATTGATTGAGCCGAACACTGGCCATTGCGACAGCTCCTGACCTCTGGAAGTAACGATCAAAGGTGATAATCCAAGTGTTCGGTCTACGTCAATTGTGTTGCAACTGTCCGAAGGTAAGCTACTATAGAATAGGCCGAATGCTGACTACTGCGGTCGGTTTTCAGCCGTGGAAGGTTATGTTAAGGTTGCCAAACGAAGATTGGGTCTACGGCGATGGTTTCGCAACTGTCCAAAGATATGGTGCCATAGATTGAGCCGCATACCTACAAGTGCAGTCGTAACTGACCTAAGGAAGTAATGGTCATAATCCATAAGCCATAATCCAAAGAAAAGGGTTCATAAAACTTTCCAAATCATTCACAACACTCCGTAGATTTATGTTTAAGTAGGTAGAAGGCAAACACCAGATCACTGGTTAATGTAGGGTTTGGTTTAGATATGCCCAAGACTGTTGTGTGACAGCTTTTTCGATATTGTATAACAAATGTGTGTTACCAAGCTTATGTTTTATGCATTTCAGTAAGCACGTGTTTAGCAATTCCAGATTAGGCTTTGAGGTATGAGAAGGGTCCGTTCACAACGATCGTATCGCAAGTGTCCGAACGTATGCTACTGTAAATTAATCCGCATAAGGACTACTGCGCTCGCTCTTCAGCTGTGGAAGATACTATCAATGTTGGTAAACATAGGATAAGTCTAAAGCGGTCATTCCCCAAGTGGCTGAAGCTACGTTCTCGCAGAATAAGGCACAAACGGACTAATGTCGTCCCTCCTGACCTAAGGAAGCATAGCTGAAGGATGGCAAATTAATAGTTGGTCTACAGCGATCGTTCCTCAACTCTCCTAGGTATCCAAGGCTAGATTTACCCGCAACCCCACAACTGCTGTCACTCGTCAGCCGTGTAAGCCTAGCTGAAGGTTGATCAACCCTGGCTCGGTCTACAGCGGTCGCATCTCAACTGTTGGAGACGGTGATAATCTAAGTGAAGCAACAGCGGATATTTGGGTGCCCTCTCCCGATTGTTGCCTCAGACATACAGACCATAAACCGGCGAGATGTTTTAGAATTCGCCCCCTTAAAAAACTAAGTGCCGAAATACCTTCAACTGCAAGGTCCTCGCAGGGATTTGAAAATGACCCTGACCCAGATCCAAGGACGTCCGACTTTATTGATTCTTGTTCACCGTCACCCGCGCACATCATTATCAGGCAAGTGCAAACGCCGCATTTGCACTAAAAATGACGTCAGTAAGGCGAGACTTCTCCTTCAACAAAACTCGTGACTCCATTGGCAGTATTTCGACTCTGAGCTTCCAGTTACCCGCGCCGCCAGATGCAGCCCAACGCCAGATTCGTGGACATCTTATCCTGGCCCTCGAAGTTTGCACTCTCGCCTGTATTCTGGTGGTGGTGTATTTCGTTCCGGCGATGATGATCCGTCTCTACAAATTTAATGGCACTATTTCGGAAGGTACTCTGCTCTACAAAGAGTCCTTCGAGGATAAGAGCTGGATGGTTCACGAGTTTCCCAAAGCCGTCGATGACATGTTTGTTATGCTGAATCGGTCGATCACACGTATACTTAACGAGACCAGTAGGATGGATACTTTAAACGACGAAAGTGAGTATGTGCATAATTTCCAGTTAAGTGGCAAAATTTGAAAAAAAAACTATTTAGACAAGTTTTTAAACAGAACCATGGGTGACTGTGGACGCAGTCGTAAGGCCACAGCTGGACAGCAGCGGCGGAATTGAGCGTCTTGACTTACCTAATTTTGTCTCTGTTCAGGCCGTTCACGATTATAAACAGGTTACATGTTTCCCCTTAGTGGCCTGTTCATTTGCAGATGTCCAGAGCACATAGACTTTCAGGCCGAAATACTGTCTGTTTGGTGTTGATCACTCGGTCAACTCATTTTTCTCCAACTAGCTGACTTGCGCCGCCCCCTTTAATTAATTTCACCTGCAATGTCTATTGCGTAAGTAGTTACGTAAACATTAGTTTCGTCTCTTGACCTGATGGTTTATTTCGTGTAAATAAGAATGACGAGGAAGCCTCAAGAAGCAACATTTACTCATCATAAAATTCTCGCGCATATCTCAATAAGGAGCATGTGGTTTAAATTTTTCTCCTCGACCTCAATTTGTATGCAATCCTGTACAATGTGTTTGGTTATGTCTAATATATCTCACTGTGCGAATCCAAAGAAAAAGGTTCATAAAACTTTCCAAATCATTCACAACACTCCCTAAATTTACGTTTAAGTAGATAGATGGCAAACACTAGATCACTGGTTAATGTAGGATTTGGTTTAGATATGCCCACGACTGTTGTGTGACGGCTTTTTCGATATCTTATAACAAATGTGTGTTACCAAGGTTATGTTTTATGCATTTCAGTAAGCACGTCTTTAACAATTTCAGATTAGGCTTTGAGGTATGAGAAGGCACTTTTAGAAAGATATTTCCCCGCCCCTCTGAACTATGTCTCAAGCCCACTTGTATTACTGAGATAGTGGTAATTCGGGCCTTTTAGGAGAGGAAACGAGGTGTATTTAAATAGATAAAAGGGAAAAACTCATATTTGCGCTGCATACTCTTTTTACTGCATTAAAAGGACACTTTTCAAAAGGATAGTTCAGGACGATAAACATATCGGTTTCCACCGGCGCGTTTTAAGCAATTTCAGAGCATGCCTTCAGATCATTACTGCTTTCCCCTCAAATTTCTGCGGGGTCCTCACATCGAAAGATATCTGGCTGCTCGATCCATGATTTGTCCACACTCGTCTTCCAACTAAGGACGACGGTGCTGAGGACAATTTTGAATATTATAACGATGTTAGGATCAATCGGTTGAGCAGGTAGCTACTTTTTACTAGGTTGGTGTTAGGCTTCCGAAATCATTTGCCTGTCAGGAGGTGAATTACACTTTACTTGCCTCATTTACCACTCATGCTGGGAGGCTCCTACTTTTGCACACCACGTATACCAGAGGATGCTAACACTGGCTACCTCTACTTGCCTCATTTAGGACGCCGATTCATGGCTTTCTGGCATGATGCCTTCACGGTCTATCCTCTGATTATAACATTCCTCATCATGGCTATCGCTCTGCATATCTTCATACGCATTCACCCTGAATGGGCGGAAGTCGCAACTGAGGCTCCAACCTTTGGTGAAATGATTCTTCTGATTGCAGCCAGTAAGTTTGCCAGTTTTCCTCATTCGAAGAAGATATGCCCGCAGGATGAAAACATTCAAACTAATTTGGAGGACTGAATGACTCAAGACTTTTAACTCACTGCATAGCACAGTTTTCGCCCACCCACTCCTTCCCCCCATCCACGGGACCGACATACCCATATGCAGCAGAATTTTTAGTTATAAAAAATGAATGATTTTACTATAAACATATCGGAGATTAGAAAAGCAGTTACCAGAACCTCCTAAAGGTCAAACGGAGTCTACAGTTTAAATAACGTTTCTTCGCGGGCTGCGAAAAATAACCATAGCTGGTGCTTGCAAACTTCTTAAAGTGGGCGGACGTTTTTTGCTTCAAGTTGGTTTTGACAGACGAGTCTTTGTCCACATGCTTACCACAAGGATCCCAAGTAAAGTTTTCCATGAATACAATCCCACAATTAAATGCAGAGCGTTAAGCAATAGCAACGTTTCGCGCCTTCAACTAGTGAAATGTCCATCGGGATTTTAGCCGATTGTGGCGCTGCCATCTGATAAAGTATTTAGGCCTCCGTCGGTCTCCAGAAATCATCGAACAAGCTTTCTTAGGCTTTCATAAAGGCCTAATGAATAGTCAGATGCTTTGGCGGAAGGATGACTTAAGGACGTGTATCTAACACTGATCTTCATGAACTGGCGCTTGCGCCACGAGTTGTGCCTGACCACGTTGACCTGTGTTCGGGGTGGAGAGTGGGAAAATGAACTACTGTGAGTAGGTATTGGCTCGTTGCAGCAGCTTAAGCCACTACGACCTTCAGGCTCGGTTCCGAGTAGAAGAGGGAGATGGACGCCAGTTGCGAGAATAGTCTATTTTGCACAGAAGGGGCTAGTGAGACTTGGCAGCCGGAGGGGGGCACGTGCGGAGCCGGGAGATCGGCGTCCCGAGTGAGGACGCACGCGTCACAGCGTCCTGAACGAGTGCAAGTCTGACTCGGTCCTGAAGATGATTGGCCCGTTGGGAAGCTGTGAGCGGGCGCAAGCTAGGCTGTAATTGGTGCTCACGCGCAAGCATGCGCGAGGCGCAGCGCTGCGACAGGACCCCCCCCCCCCGTGAGGGGCCACGACAGACTAACGCGCTTGCTAGCTGAGATGAGGTGACCCCCATACCGTGGTTTTAGACAAACGAAATTCACATTTTTACCTTCACTGTTTACTCGACTAGAAAAAAAAAACACGTTTAATGACAACTTTAGCTGTTGTCTTATTTGAGGAAGTGGATGAGCCTTCTGACCTAAAGTCATAATTATCTTTTATAGTGTTGTTCCAGCTGACACTGATCTTCAACAATGTTCGCCTGCACCGGCAGAGCAACAAGTTTCTTAAGGAACTCAGCGTTCTCTGCAGCGATGCGCTGAGTGATCCAATCAGCCAAACGGAACCCCTCACCTTCTGTATGGCTCCAGCAAATGATTTCTCTACCTTTCTCCTACTGTCGTTGTTTGTTAATCTCATGGTTATTTATTCAATAATGGATTATTTGGATTCAACCTAGTTTGCCTAGGCAAATTATATTCGAAACTTCGACTTCAGAGTGGTCTTAAAAGTCGTGCGCACTAACTTGTACAGCCTTCTGACTTGGTAAATAAACAAGAATAATTTGATATGATAATTCTTGCCCTGCAGTTTCATTAGAGGTTTTGAATTTTGCATCCGAGTTTTCGGAAAATTCCCGACTGCTAAAAATCGGCACTGCAACAATATACTTTGCTCTCATCTTGACGATTTCAGTCGTACTTCACGTGTGAAAATTCTCATCTTCAATACAAGGAAGTCCGTGCATTATTATTATTATTATTATTATTATTATTATCATTTAAGCAACACCAGCATTACAAATCCCATTTGACGCTCCAGGGTAAAGAACGCCTAGACCGAAATATTCCGCGCTTTCCTGGTCGTAATGGGGTGTGGCATCCTCAGTTAGTAGCTTCAATGTTGTTCAGGCTATTCTCTTCAGCGTATGGCTTAAGGTGGTCATCCGAGAGGCCTTTTGGAGGCGGAAGTCACTTTGCTAAAGTAGTTCAGCGAGATACTTTACAATCACGACCTCAAAGTTTTAGCTTGTCAAACATTGTTGGATTTTACCTCTACTGAACAGTCTGCTTCCCCAGGTTCGCATGTGTAATTTCACTCGGCTTATCTTTGATTTTGTGAATAATGAACAGAAAAGTTTCCCTTCACCCTTTAGTCTCCCCTTGCGGTCATATGTCACCTCATGGAGTAAATCTATTAAGCTACCGGAAAGGCCACGATGAAAAATTACAGAGTTTGAACAAGGTGAGAGTTGGAGAGAAGAAAATTAGACAACGGAAGCAAATTTCATAAAACAGATTCCCGACACAGTTTGCATAATTATACAGTTGCATGCG